CTTAAGTAAAATGTACATCAAATTAAATTAGTTGTTAGGAAGGACATACAGATATCTTCATGCAAAAAGTAATTTAATGTAGTGTCATTAACGAAACAACAAATTGAACCAAAATGGGAGTGTGGGAAATTTAAAAAAGTGTAGAAATAAAAAACAGAAAAAGGATTTGGGATATAGCTCAGTAGTAGAGCACTTGCCTAGCATGCCAGAGGCTCTAGGATCAATTCCTAATCCTGCAAGTAAGTAAGTAAGTAAATAAGTAAGTAAATAAATAAATCGGGAAGGGCTGGATGTGGTGGTATGCACCTTTAATCCCAGCACTTGGGAGGCAGAGGTAGCCAGATCTTGCAGACTGAGACTATCTGGTCTACACAGAGAGTTCCAGGCCCATGGGGACTACAGAGAGACCCTGTCTTAAAAACAAAACAAAACAGGGGCCAGAAAGATGGCTTAGTGGTTAAAAGCACTGACTTCTCTTGAAGAAGACCTGGGTTCGATTCCCAGCACCCACATGGCGGCTACAAACCGTCCTTAACTCCAGTTCCAGGAGAATCCGAAGCCCTCTTCTGATCTCCATGGCATTGTATGAGATGGGTTCACTCACATACATGCAGGTGATATACTCATACACATAAAATAAAAATAATAAAATACTAGAAAAACAAAAATAATAGTAATAAATAAAAATAAAGGAAAGAAAAACAGAAGTTAAAGTACCCAACCATGAACTCTAAATTGCTCATATCCAAGAAATGCAATTTCAAGAACTGAATAAATGTACAGATCTCATATATCTAATCAGTTAAAAAACATTTCTCACTGAGACACCTAATATTCTATTTCTTAAAGTATTTAATGGCATGTATATATGTAGGTGCACACAAACACACACATACACACACATACATACTCTCTTTAAATGAGGAGGGACTGGAATTTGCTGGGCATACAGCTACCTCTCCCCAGATTTGGATGGGAAGAACATTCATCAACATTTCATTTTGGAAGAAGTTCTAAAATGAGCACATTCCACAAACCAGAAATATAAATCAAGAATCCTTACAAAAGAAGAAAAATCATGTACTTACTGTGTAAAGCTCATTAAGAACCTTCATTAAGTCCTCATGAAGTTGGAATGCAATCTCCTTGCTCTATAATTAAGAAGAAATTAAGGAACAATATTTTACAATGTAACAGAAAACTTGTTTTTAAAATGTTTACATCTTTTAAAGTCCACTGAGTGAAGATAGAAGGATGTAAAACAGAAAGCTAACATGTCCTTGATGTCATAAGACATCTTCAACCCAACAGCCCTTCTGATGCCAAAGAGGAGGGTCTGATGGTCTCTGCAGGATGAACAAAAGCAAATGAATAGGCAGCTTGGATGGCTCCCCCACCAGCCATATCAGATTTTAAGGGGGTAGGGTGAGGACAGCTGCACGGGGTAAGTATCACGCTTGCTTAGAAGGTAAGCTGTGGGCCAGCTACAGTGGTGCACTCCTATAATACCAGCACAAGGGAGGCTGAGGCAGGAGGACAATGGTTTTCTAGGCCAGCCGGAGCCATACAATGAGACCCTGTCTCAAAAACATTTTTTAAAATAACAAAATAAAAGAGCTGGTGTGATGGTTCTACAGTTAAAGAACTTGCAGCAGCAGGCCTGACAATCTGAGTTTGATCCCTATGTAAAAAGAGATAAACTGACTTTACAAAGTTGTCCTCTGACCCTCCAGATGTCTACCCCCCATATATACATACCAGTAATAATTTTAAAACAATTAAAGACAATAACAATTAAAACCAAACAATAATAGCAAATAAAAAAAGATGAATTTGAGCATCTAGTTTCCCTCCTCATTAATTTTATAAGCAATTCCCCAAATAGGAAAGTCAGAAGAGAGTAACTTCTGTTCAAAATAATGATTTGACTCACTGCAACTTTAAGAAAGCACTTTTGAAGTTGAAAGCTGCTCCACATACCTCTACTTCTGCATTTATTATTATTTTTTTTATAAAGACCAACAACAGAGTCGCATCCTTCCCTTGGCTTATTCCAAGACTTTGACTGAGAAAAATTTGAATATTGTTTTCAGCAAAATCTGTAAATTATTTTAAGTGAAATCATATTCAAACATCTTTGTCTTTTCTGAGTTCACTGTGTAGTCATCTATACAGAATGGAAAGTGTCTAGTGTGGCTTTTTCTACAGTGTGTGACAAGACAGGAGCCCTACCAGCTCTTACACTGGACTGTCAGCTCTAAGAGTGGGGCTGTATAGTTTCCCATGCTGTGTAAGTGGACACCAAGGACACAGGGCGACTGTCAAGCTCACCCAGCCTGTCCTCCTTGACTTGGATGTACAAGAAGCTTCGTGCACACACTTCCAAAGGAATCTGAACTGCTGTGTGTGGGTGAGAACTAAAGCAATTACTTGGATTACCCAGGGCATCTGCTGGCCACCGTGGAAAGGGAATAGACACAGAACAATCACTCTTTTTAAAAAATATTTTATTATTTTTATTTTATGTGTATGCATGTATTGCCTGCATGTAGGTAAGTGCACTCATGTCATGCAATACCTGCAGAGGTCAGAAAAGGCTGTCGATCCCCTGGAACTGGAGTTACGGACAGTTGTTAGCTGCCATGTGGGTGCTGGGATTCGAACCTGGGTCTTCTGCAAGAACACTCAGTGTTCTTAACCACTGAGCCATCTCTCCAGCCCTAGACCAATCACTCTTAAAACAACATTGGTACTCTATGAAACTGGTTCCATCTATAATGGGAGGTTATTTGTTCAGGCCTAATAACAACAACAAAGGCCAGAGTAACGCCTAAATGCTGAAAAATTAAAATTCATTAGCAGCACTTGTCGCTGTGTTTTCTTGAGGATCCTGAGGACAGTGTTGCATGTACCAGGATCTGACAGTGGCTGACTCTCTAAATTGGATTTAGGAATTTTAAGTATTGTCCTGTCCCTGCTATGTGAGTATCTGGGCTAAGAATCACTCTCGAGTAATAGGGAAGTTACATGTGAGCTAATGTAGTCAAACAAATCTCTATTTTCCCCAAGTTGGTACTCTGAATGTATACATTGCACTACAATCTCCTATGACTCCAATTCTGTGTTTTTTTTAAATATCAGGTTTCATTCAAAGAACTGGGCCGCCAATTTAGAACTCTCTAATGGGATCAAAGGCCACCAAGCAATCCTGTTCAGTTATCAACATTTCAGGTAGCAAGTTTAAAAAGAAAATATTTCTTGGCTAAGATTTCCAAACAATAACAAAAAAGTCCCATCAGTTCAATTAACCTCAAACCAAGAATATTTAAGGTCAGAGTAAAGACTTAGGCGTGATGCTCTAAGAGTCCTCTGTGTAACCCTTGGCTAAACATCTTAGAACAAGCAAGATGATTCTCTGTATGTTCTAAAGTTTTATAAGACTTCAGGTGATAAGGTAGAATAAATCTAGCATACACTTAAATTTCACCTTTTACCAGAGGCCTTGAAATATATATAAAGTCTGCCTTAGATGCTTAAAATGCTTAAAAGCAAGGGCTCTGGGGCCAGAAAACATGGTTGGGTGCTCAGAGACTTTGAACCTCTCTTTATCTTGGTTTGTGATCTATAAAATGGATGGTAACCCTTTGAGTTAAAGTCTATTGACCTCCATGTAGGAAGTGCTTGGAAGAAAGTATTTGATTAGATTTTGATGTCCCTTCCCATTGCCCTAGGCCTTTAGTTCCCCCCAGAAGTCTCCTATAAGTTTGAAATGCCCTTAAGTATTGGCTCCAGGGCTTGGGGTTTTCCCTACTTCCTCATCATGCAACATACACTAAAACTTATTTCCTAATGTTCCATATTCTTAGGGGTCCTACTACTAGTGATAATAAAGCATGTACTAGAAATGTGGTAATTCCCAAAGACAACATGACAGACAGACACACACAGTCTATGAAAGAGGCCTTTAAAGAGCTCGCTGTACTGAGAATTTTAGATATTGTGAAAAGTTGGTAGGAACTGCTTTCAACAGGGAGACCCTTCGGCACCCTTCATGACACAGCATCAGAGTTTCTATTTGCTTACTTTTTGTCACAATCCAAAGTGACTGGCCTAGTCAGTAAACTCACAAGCAGTCATCTTTTTCCTACTATCATTTTTTTTGTTTTGTTTTGAAGACAGGGTTCAGTTGTGTGGCCCAAACTGGCCTTGACCTTAGATCATGCTCCCTTGGCCTCTTGAGTGCTGGGCTGTAGGCATGACCTACCACGGTGGACTCCATCACCACTCTTTTAGTTTGTAGAGACCGTCAAGGAGCTGGTCTGTGCTCTGAAAGGCACTACGTTATGTGACTAATGTGCAAAACGCGAATTCAAACACCTCTGTATTTACAGATCCTTGGGTTGCAACAGCCTCAAGTGCTAATCAGAAGGTTGTGGGCCTGGTTCCTGTTCTTGGGGCGTGGGAATGGTACAAGGGTCACTTTATGTTACCTCCATTCCCAATTTAAATATATCTCCAATTTATTGCTGTAACAGTGAGATGTACTGATTTACTTTCAAAGAATTCTCTAGATACCTAAAAAACCAAACCAAAACAAAAAACAATCTTTAAATCAAAACACAGTTGCAGGACCACCTGCAATATAAAGGAAATCTAAACTGATGAACTGAAATCCTTTCTATTTGTTTTTCTGAAACAAATAAAACAAGTTTGAAAGGCCCTTAAGTACTGGCTCCAACCCCTGGATTTTTCCCAAAGTGAGTTTTTAGAAAATACCTGGATTGTCAAAGTCCATGGAACTTCAATATGGTATATGTGTCCCTGGATTCTGTTCCATTAAAGAGCTGAAAACAAGTTCAGCACTGGCCTCTGACACTTGAGCAAGGACTGCTAGGTAATAACAATTATAAAGGTCTTCAGCACGGTAAAGACTGACCCTTTAGTACAAGAAAACTAGTAAGAAATTATATGTGTTAGGAAAAAAATATTTTCTCTGCTATTTGAGGTTAGGTAGTTACAGTTAGAGGAGAGCCCCTCAATTGCTCCAGACATACTGTTAGAAAAGATTACCTCCCTCCCTCCCTTCCTAGAGAAGCTGAAATGATACTAAAAGTTCTGATATGTTTAAGCAGGATTCTGGGATTTTGATCTGAGGGGACAGCAAATGATCAGAACAGCAATTTAGTTATTTGGTTAACATGTATCCATTGCCTCCAGTAAACATACCCAGAGTTAAATTCCAAACTTATTTATAATCATTTACTATTTATTGCCATTTTGATGTTTCAGATATAAGCATAGCTTCAAATTAACATTGCCAACCATGTGGTGGTACACGCCTTTAATCCTGGCACTTGGGAGACAGAGGAAGGCAGATCTCTGTGAATTTGAGTCCAGCTTGGTCTACACAGTGAGTTCCAGGCCACCCAGGGCTACATAGTGAGACCCTGTCTATAAAATAAAATAAAATAAAATAAAATAAATAATTAAATAACTTTTTCAAAGTTTTCATTTTTTTTTTCATTATGAAATTGAGTTAAATGTACTGAAGAATATCGGAAAAATTGAGAACGGGGACAACACACCACGTGACTCAATGTATTTCCTTCAAGTGCTCTTAGCCACCACAGCTGAGTCATAATCACTCCATTTAATCAGGTATATTTTTCTATTCTACTTTTTCTAGTTACCATCATTTTTCTTCCTCTAAAATTTCTGACTAAAATTCTTTAAAGCCTTGCAACACTTTTTAGGACAGACTTCAAATGTCTTACGTCATCATTTCCTGTGCTGTTCTAGGCTCTTTCCTTTCTGCTTCCCTCTACCCAATGCACCCTACATGCAAGTTTGTCCCCCAGAGAGAAACTAAACCTTCCCTTTAAAAAAAAAATTAAAAAATTATTTTTACTTAGTGTATTATATGAGTGTATTGCTTGCATGTAGGTTGGTGCGCCCATGTCCTGCGATGCCCTCAGAGGTCAGAAGAGGGTGTTGGATCGCCTAGAATTGGCGTTTAGAACCAATGGTTGTTAGCCGCCACTTGGGTGCTGGGAATCCAACCTAGGTCCTCTGCAAGAGCAGTCAATGCTCTTAACTTCAGAGCTATCTCTCCAGCCCTAAACCCTATTGATTGTATAATCCACTCATTT